ATATATATATGTAGAGCTCCGTCGCCGACGTCCGATCAAGCAGAAGCGAAAATGCCGTCGCACAAGACGTTCATGATCAAGAAGAAGCTGGCGAAGAAGCAGAGGCAGAACAGGCCGATTCCGTACTGGATCCGGATGCGCATCGACAACACCATCCGCTACAACGCCAAGCACCGCCATTGGCGCCGCACCAAGCTCGGGTTCTGAGGATGCTTCCCTGCCAGCGCAATCCGCGCTCGATCTGCAGAAACCTTGTTTGTTTTCATGCCTCTCATTCTGAAAATCTGGAACTCTGTTTTTAGTTTATGAATCGTTTTTATTGCTTTCTGTTTTATCAGTATTATTATTAACATGTAAGACTTGGTTATTAAGGAATCATTTTGATGATTACTGCTCCTTAATTTGTTTTTTTGAAGAGTCAAGAAGGTTTTCTTCAATATATATATATATATATATATATATATATATAATATACTCCCTCCGTCCCTAAATATTTGTCACACTTCTATTACCGAGGTAAAATATCAAGTTTTTTCAATTAATTTTATTTACATATTGGTATAGAAATAAAAAATAAAATTTACATATCAAAAAACTACATGAAAAGTTCTTCAAAATAAGAGGTGTCAAGAATATTTTATTTTATCAAATAACCAATGAAAAAGTAGAAATAAACAAAAGTTCCCGCGACTGCTGAAAAAGCAAATGTGAGATATATTTTGGGACGGAGGGAGTGTGTGTGTGTGTGTATTGTTAGAGTGTCATCCCACATCAGAAGTTCAAGAGCAAAATAATCGCTATATACGCTATTGAGTTGAACTAACTAATCGATTGGATTCAATCTTTTAATGTTGTTCAACTCAAGTGTCTTATTACCCAATCCAGTGATCCATACCCCATCCTAAATTCTATCATGGTATCAGAGTAGGTTTTGGCCCACCTCGTTTGTCAAGGTGTCGTCTAAACGTTCATTCCTAGCGGCCCATTTGTCTTTAGCCCAGTTGTCCGTATGGAGTATGTACCCCAATGGCCCGTTTAACACGATTGCTCGTCTGGAAGTCCATACTCAGCGGCTCGTGGTCCTTTAGGTGTTGGCGCTAAAAAAAATCAAGGGAATGTGAGTTTATTTGCAAGTGGTCAACCGGTTAGATTCAAAATGGCCCGGTTGTCCACTTGAGGGGGAGTGTTAGAGTGTCATCCCACATCCGAAGTTCAAGAGCAAAATAATCGGTATATAAGCTCTTGAGTTGAACTAACTAATCGATTGGATTCAATCTTTTAATGTTGTTCAACCATAGTTTGTAAGGCGTCGCCTAGGCGATAAGGCGCTGTCACTGGGACGCCTTGTCTGCTCGCCTCGCCTAGAAAACCTTAAGGCGACCAGGCGCTCGCCTAGGCGTCGTCTTTCCTCGCCTTAATTCGCCTTACCTCGCCTTGGTGCCTTGGGCCCCTTTAAAATTTTGAAAAAACCCATTTTTTAGTGCAACTCTTTTTCTTTTATTGTAGCCTAAGAAACTTAAACTTATCTTCTCTCTCTTGGTCTTCTCTGTCAAGCTTCCTTAAAATGTATAAGACCTATATATACATATACAAATATATATATATATATATACAGTATATATATATATAAGTATGTATGTCGCCTAGTCGTCGCCTAGACGATATGAAGGTACATTGGTGCCTCGCCTTGCCGCCTTACAAACTATGTGTTCAACTCAAGTGTCTTATTACCCAATCCAGTGATCCCTACCTTATACTAAATTCTATCATATATATATATATATATATATATATATATGCATGTGTGTGTACACACACACACACACATATATACACACACACACACACTTTGCTGTTTGTATGCCAATTTAATTATTTTAGGTGTCACTGGATCTATATTTGTGTTATTTCTTGGGTGAATGTTTTGTATGCCAATTTGCTTTGTCGTGATTAGTTCTCCTTGTCCAAGAAGGTAGGGGATAGATGCCAAGTTGAGCCTGGAGAAAGGAGAGGCATTGTCAAATTTGTTGGTCGGGCAGAAACACTCGCTTCTGGTTTTTGGGTTGGAGTTCAATTTGATGAACCAGTAGGAAAACACGACGGCATGTAAGTTCAATATTTTATCTTTACAAAATTTCATCAATGTTTAGCGATGCACATTTTGGTTTCTCAATATCACATTTGAAGTGAGGCATGACTATAACAACTATCCCAGCTCATCACCACATCGTTATAATTTCCATGCAAGTGGAAATAATCTATGATGTACTATGGTCCATGTAAATGACAACATGTAGCTTAAATACAATTTTTCAGTCATGCTCCATCATGCTTGATTTTACCATCACGATTTTGCAATGTGAGTCATGTGACATGACTTAACAATTATCTCAACATCCCATAATACTGACATGCAAGTAGAAATTCGCATATGGTTTTGGTAATTCATCTCATCATTACATTAGGAGTTCACAACATGAAGGACATTGGGGTTAAACTTTTTCATTATGTTTTTTCATGTATTTATAGTATTAATTAATTGCTTACAATAAACTAATGCTAAATACTCCGTATCATGTTACCGGTCCCATTTTAGTTGGTGGGATTAAAGTGGTGATGATGGTGTTTTGTTAATTAAGGGGAAGAGGACTAAATTCAGGCTCATACCCTGCATCTTGTTCACCTCGTTACATGCAGATAAGGCGATCAGATCCTTTTTCCCTTAACAGGGTGTTCAGATTAAGAAACTAATGGGCACAATAAAAATTTCTCAATAATATAACATCAATTTGAGGCTAACACCTTGTTTGGCTCACAAAATAGGTGATACATGCAGGTGCTGGTTGTAGACCCTTGCATGTGCTTCAGTAATCCTTCAATGTGTGTTTCAATTACATATTCGCTCCCAAACGTTGCATTTGTTCATTTCTAAAACTCACAAATGACTTCGACCTGAAAATAATTCTAACTGTGCATCTTCTTCTTCACATCATTCCATTTTTGTTTTCCGGTTCCTCACAAAGATTTGACTTTGAATCCCTACAATCACTGCTTTCAAAATGGACTTCTTGACCCAATGTGTCCCAACGGTGGACGTGTCTGATTTGAGGTGACCGTGTGGCAAAAGTGAGATATCACTTTGATGGTATCATGCCCCAAGAAAGAGTGCTTCAGAGCCCAAGATCGTAAGCCCAATCCTGGGGAGCAAGTGGTCGGCCTCGATCCAGAGTCCCACCAAATGTGCGGGCAAATTGGCAGACCTGCCCGACCAATGCTCAGTCTCGTCCATGCCTGGTAGTCGGCCATGGAGTCCTGAGTAAAGCCCCCTTCTAGGGCAGTAGTTAGCCTTACCCTTTGGTTCGAAAGTTAGTGGGCTGGCACTGGCCCAGCCTGTTGGTGTTATGGCCCATTAAATAGTTATTTGGATAGTGGGCATTGGCACCCGCTCGTGTCTTTGTCCCCATCGTCTATATATTAATCCCTCCCTAGCCAGTGGGGAGGGGGACACTTGCATTATTCTAGAAATATAATTGCAAGATTTTTCTATCGTCTTTATTTATTCATCTATTTATTTCGCGTGAGAAGCTTTACTTGACCGCTGTAATTCTTCTGCTATGTTCACACAGGGTGAAAGGCAAACGCTACTTCGACTGCCCTCCCCTTCACGGCGCAATGGTTCGCCCAGATAAAGTAAAGGTGTGTACTTTCTTAAGATCTCTAGCTTTACTAGGTTGTTTATTATACTCCGTATAAGTTTTGAGGTTTAAGGTTTGGGTCTTCGGGATATGGTTTTTAACATTGGAAAGGAAAAGGAAAAACTCTCTAGCTGTACTTGGTTGTTTATAAAAACTGGAGTTATGGCTCATTGTATTGGCTGTTCAGGTTGGGGATTATCCAGAACGAGATCCATTTGAAGAAGATGAAATTTAGTTGTTTTCTTCATTTCAATTGTTGCAAATTGTGAGACCAATTTGACCGTTTGAGAGCCATGTGAATGATGCAAAGCAAACAATAACTATTTTTAAGGTATGGGTGCAGACTCGATTTCACTAATGAGATTTTCAATCTTCAGACTTTTTTCTTGACTTTGTCTCTTCAGTTTTCACCAGTGATATTTTTAGTTATGCCAAACATAGCCTATGTCATGTATATGGCGTACCCCCATAGTTTCAATGTAGGCATAATGTGTAGCAACATGCTGGGAGTCATTACAAACAATTTAGGTAAAGGCAAAAACATGTAGTGTTTAGGCAAAAATATGTAGTGTTTGAATGTTTGAATACTTTTCTACCCCGGAGTACATGAATGTTTTTGACATTTGGAAACTGATAGTGTTTATGAGAAAATTACTTTTGGGTATCATTGGTTTTCTGGTAAAACTCTCGGGTTCTACATTATCTAAAATATAATCAGGAGGTCCTTAGAATTTGTGTTAATGTACTCAAAAGTACATTCCATTTATTTGAACGTTAGAATTGAAAGTTTTGTTACTTTAACCAATCGAACACACAAAAAATTTACTTCGAGTGACTTTACGTTTTCGGTTAAGAACTCGCAACTCTCATGTTGTTAAATTTTATATTGAATTATTATTATTTTATTAAATTTTAATAAAATATTTCAATTTAAGTTAAATAACTATAATCTTAGTTATTAAAAGCAATCATCACCTTATTTATGTTGTCTTTAAAAAATGTATTTAAACTTCATATTTTAAAAATTAAAATATTTATAAATTTTTAAATATTTGAAAATTGAATTTATGTATGATGAAGTTATAAATTTAAAATAAAATCCTGCAATATACGTATATTGAAACAAAAAATATGGAGTAATAAAAGACATAAATTGTTCATTAGAAGTTGAAAAAATGTTAGGACAAAATTGTAAAATTGTTTAAGAAATGTTAGTAAATGTCAACATGTTCCTGGCTTGTGAAAATAAAAGTGATTATTTAGCCACTTTAATTTTATCAGCTGTTGGCTAGCAGTAGCTTATGCGTTTGCAGAGCATTGTGCTGCACTTTTACAAAGAAGTCAAAAAAAATCGATGGTTGTGAAATTAACTTCATAGTACTATATAAATTTGTCTTTGTGCTCTATTGGAATTTGTGAAGGTTGAACCCATAAATCTTTCTAAAACCTTTATGAGATTCACACACACATTCAACCAAAAAGCAAAGGAATATGTCTCTGTTTCTCATTCTTTGGGTTTTCCAAACTTGTCCCAACTAGAGAAGAACAATCTTGACAACAAACATAACATTGCCACAACACATGATTTCATGAAGTTCCAAAAAGAAGAGGGCCAGTACCATGGATGTAGCAACCTAAAGAACAAACTTATGAGATGCCTCGGGTACCGCCCCACCTGTAACACCAACAAAATCAACCCATCAACACAATTCTCAAGAAAAAAAAGATCGTATTTCAATTTAGCTGGTCGTTTGACTCATTTTGGTGGGTCATTTCTGGTTCAGTCATTTTCATTTTCGATAGTCAGAATCTTTGTTCAATACCCAGTATTTTTAGGCTGTAAAAAAATGTTTGGTAAATTATTATATACTAACCGGAAAAAGAAAGTCTAGTACATCCCGTGCTGCATGACGAACCGCACGTGTAGGGTACATAGGAGCACCGGGGCTAGTGAAGCTATACAAGCAGGTTCTCAGTCTTGTACTTGTTGTCATTCTCAATTCTACCCCTGTAGATACAACATAATTAAGAACCTCACTAATTAAAGAACTACAATTGATTTTATTAACCATATAAAATTCCATGCTTTGTGATCTCTATGTATAGCACTTTACCACTTAGAACTTTCATTTGGGAGAGGTAATGCAATAGTACTGGCTCAACTTTCAGTTGCTGAAGCTGGTTAAAAAAAAGAGCATAGTAAAAGATGAATTAGTAAGTTCACAAGAAGTATTTGTGAAAATCATTCCGAAACCTACTAAAGTGCGCGCACATTATAAAAAAGATCCGATCGAAATAATGAAAGTGTGTAATTGAGATTAAGAACCCTATAATCGAAAACTTGCAATATTAATGTTTCTAAACCCTCCAAAAAGTACGTTAAAAATAAATGACAGGTAAACGGGCAACAAGCTGCGCCGCAAACCCCTTTTTGGATAGCAAGGAAACAAGTGATGAGTGAAAATCATTCTTATTTTCACGGAAAGAAAACCTTCGGTTGAACCGAAACGTGTGTGTTTACGTGTGGTGATGTTCCTCACCTGATCAGCTAATTCAATAACGAAGAAATCAGCCGGACCACCTACAAAGAGAGCATTTGGGAAGTCTGGAAATTGACTCAAGAAGCTTTCTAGCTTGTCAACTGAAAGTAATTAAACAAATGTGATCAACGCGTGGCACATATAAAACCAAATCAATATTACTTAACATGCATTTGTATCGTATGCTTCTCTCTCACCTGAGTCGTAGAAAAATATGAAACGCGAGAGGACGAGGAACAAATCCCGTTGCGCCTGTTTTAGGGGGAAAGCAAAGACCGTTAATCAGATAATTAATGCCCAGTGGTGATAAAGATTAATGATGTTTGAGAATTGAGATCGGAGTGTTCCAATGAATTTCACACCTGCAACGGTATCTTCTTTAATCGTTCTGGAACGAACGCGACTTCCTCAATCAGATACTTCAATATTCAGTGCATTGATAGGATGAAAAAATGTTACGTACTCCGTAGTAATTCATGATTTGAATTTACAAAATTGAAGTAAAAATATTGAAAATTAAAAAAATTATCACCATAAAGAGACTCTGAAAGCATTTCATGTTGGATTGAACATCGATCCTGTGAAAAGGTAATCACAACAAAAATACATCATACTCATCCAAAAAAAATTCTTTCTCATTTGTTTTTTCATGACTTTTAATACAACGCTTTGACCATTAATATTTTTATTTGTGTATAGATGTATCTTGTAAAATTATAATATTTCAAAACTATTTCTCAAAATTAATCTATTCATTTAAAATGAGAATTGGTGACAACAAGAGGGGTGTCATCATATTATGACAACAAAGCTTATGGTGCTTCGTTAGAAGATTTCTATGTCCCTGTAAAATAGACAATTTGAAAATTTTTAATTTGAAAATGATCATTAAACATAATTAGGACTTTTAATTAGTTGAGATAACACATCTATTTCATACTTAACGTCTAGTCTTGCTACCTAATTATTTCTGACACAATTCTCATGTCTTAAATTGTATCCTTATTCATATTATGTCTCGAGTTCCAAATTATTTGGGAATTTAATATAATACTCCCTCGTCCCTCAAACATTTCCAGTTTGAAAAAAGACAGATTTAAAAAATGTGCAATTTTGGTGTTATTATCTAATTTTTAATTTTTTTATCTTATACGTAGTACATCATATCCTATATATTATAAAGGACAAAATTAGAAAATAAAATCAAAACTATACATTTTTAAAGCCCGTCTGGAGAGAGTAAATAAATTTGGGAATTATTGAGAACGTGAATACAATTTAAGACATGAGAATTATGGCAGGAGTAATTAAAAATGCAAGACTAAGCTAGATATGATGTTGAATACGAAATAAATTAGTTATCTCAAAAAAAATAGAAATTTTTATTGAGCTTAAGGGCCGTTTTTAAAATAAAATGTTTTGTAAGGATCAATGAAATAAAAAAAAGGAACAAAAACAAAAGTTGGTACTCCGCAGTTTACAAAGATTGAGAACACATTTAGCCATATATGTTAACTAATTTTGCATCTTATTAAAGAACGGTAAATATAGTGTCACCAACCATATGAAGCTAACATTTATTTTACGGCAAGTTAAAATTACATAAAAATTTGAAGAAAAAAACGTACCAAAACACATTGGTAGCACCATGAACCAGGGCAGAAGAGTACCGAATCAATGATTCGGTATTCTCAAGCTCAACCTCAAATAGCTGCAAAATTAAAACGAAAACATCTTTGAGAGGTTCGGTTGATATACCGGAGAAAAAAATTGACGCTATAAAACTGGGTTGTTTGATTTTTACAGAATTCAAGGAAAGTGTTGAAAAGTAACAAATTTATGATTGGAATTTGTTTAGAAGAATTGCGAGTCACGTACTTTTTTTAGACATAAGTCAAAGCCTTTTCCTTGAGAAATGATATTTGTACTCAATTTTTTGCAAATAGTGCATTTTGGAGTGCCAATAGAAAAAAATGGAGTACAAATATCATTTCCCTTTTTCTTTATGCATACAAAAAAGGAAAAGAGTCGAGTTTTGTTTTTTGCGGGACAGAATGAGTATAATCTAGCACGTATATATGGCTTATACTCCCTGCATCCCAATTAAAATTACCTGTTTTTGTTTACGATATTTGACTGAAATTATTTTCAAATACAATTCATTTGAGAATTGGGGTGTGATATAATTAAAAAGTGAAGTCTTCATATTTCAAAATCAAATCAAATGTTTTACGAGAGTGAATGAAATTTAACCTTAAGAGATAATATAAATATACATTACCCATTTGTGAAACAAGAGGGAAAAGATATGAGAAACAAAGGACTGGCTCCAAAGCTGAACAATCAAGTCAAGGATTGGTTTCCCACAATGGTGGTCATTCACAAAATGGTCTGTAAGCACATTGAAGTAGCATATTGGCCCTTTGTTTCTTTCTTCTGCGGCAGATATTGAATTTTCATTCCCAAATATCACTCCTGTATGTACAATTAATTCGATCAACATTAACGATCGATGAGTGTTAGCGTCATAGATTTATATAATTAGCGTCAGTTGACAATTTTGATCTAACATAAAAATTATGTCCCAAAAAAAGAAACTTTGTGAATAAAAATTGGCAAAGAGTAATTAATTAACGAACCTCTGGCTCGATCATCAACTTCCAAAGCTATATCAGCTAACAGCTCTTGCAACAATTGGAGCCTCTCACTAGGCAAAGCTATTGCCTGTATTTATAAAAAGTGAAATTTGCAATAAATAGTACTCCATATTAAAGGGCACTCCTCTGTCCCGATTTATTTGTTCTAGTTTGACTTTTAAGCCAATTTTGATCGTAAGTTGTGAGAAAAAATATATTCAATTATGATGTAAATTTAATGTAATTGAGTTCGTTTTAAGATGTAGATATGATATACCGGACTATCAAATTTTTGTAATTTTAATTTTTTTAAAACGATACTCAATTTATGGTCAAAATTAATTTAACACTCAAACTAAAAAATTGCAAGTAAATCATACGGAGTATACATATCAGA